CACGCGCGCGCATATGGAAAATCCGCGGCGTAATCCCATCCCGCATTGTTGATGAACCAATAAAACTCCGCGCTCGGGAGGAGTTTTATGGCCCCACGGCGTTGTGGAACGGTACTCTAACAACGAAATCCTTAAAATACAGCGGCAAACGATTAGGGCTATTTAATAGCTCAAAAATCCGATGTGGGATGAATTTGTTCCAGTCGCATGCCAGGGTACTGGCATTACGAATTTCTTTGAAATGAAGAAAATTGCTAGCTTTCTACTAACATTTATAGTAAATTATAAAAGACAATTAAAGTTATAACCCATCATATAAATCAAAAAATTAATTAAATATATATATACCTATTGTACTGGGTGGTTTTTCTTTGGTTTTGCTTTAAAATAGCAAAATTAGTTTCAGATTCTAATAGCATTAAACAAATTGAATTCATTTTCGATTGAAATAAAGCGAAATAAAATACTCGACCGAGATTCGTATAATCAGACGATTACAGAGACGAGAAACAAATCATAACAAATTTATCGCTTGTTATTGTTATTACAATTTCTATTATTACTAGCAAATCATGAAATAATGTGCGGCGATAAGTGAACAAACGGCAAAAACTTTGCGCAAGCATTCAACTTGTTTTAGTCATATTTCCTTTTTATTAAGTAGGGGAAAAAGTTCATCAAGTGTCACTAAATATTTCTACACGCGTAAATTTGTTTTCATCGCATCAATTTTGCACAATTTGTGCCTGGTTATCAAATCAAACATTATACAAAGTATAAAAATTAAATTAGAAAATTAATTTTACAAAAATCTTTCATAAATCGTTAATCCTGTTGATGTGTATTTACCGGTAATAAAATGTTAATTAAACCAGTTGTTTTTCACAACAGGAACTAAACAAATCACTCTGTATATGAGAATGCGCGTCGAGATGAAAACAACATACATACTATCGCAATAAGACATAAAACGTTTCACATGCTAGTAACATAATAATAACAAACACCAAACATGGGAAGCGATTGGCGCCCAAGGGGCCAGGATGAGAGGATGCGCCATTTTTATCGCTCGCGACTCGGCGATCATGCGGTTTAATAATTGATATGTGATATGTGATAACCTTCCCGACATTTGTGCATCGATGATGTCGGCGGGGATCGTAATGCATAGGCGCGCATATTACACATGACACATCATTGAAATAAATAAATCGTCAAGTCAAAACAATCGTTCAATTAAAAAATTAGTTTTTTGTATGAAAAAATATAAGATTTTAACATGTCATTACTGTAATTTACTATAATTTCTTGACCACACACAATCCAAACTATATTCGCTCTAACAAGAAACTACAATATATTAAACGTTTCGTTGTGTATTTAAAGAACGATTTAACTATTTAGAGACATTTATGTTTAATAGATTATATTAGTCTGCGTGCCAAAAGTTATATTTTCGCCAATTTCCCACGCGAATGCAAATCAAATTTGAATATTGTGACGCAAACTGCGTGTGAGACTTTTTCAGGCGTCTTCGAGACGTTTTCGGCATTTTTACACACAAATATAATTGCGATGTCGTTGTGAGTGTGGAAAAATGCCAATGCTGCGCTCGCGGCGTTGCGTGCGCTGCATCCGAACACAAAAAGTAGCATAAAATTACTGAATATGTAATAATTATAATATGAATGTAAATAATTTTTTTGACCGTTTGTTTTGCACACGCATTGATTTCACGTAATTTGAATTTAATGGCCGCTTAATGGCGCGCCGACGCTGACGCAAGTGGACAAAGTGTGTGCTTAATTTAATAAAGTGAATTGCAATTAACGCATATAGGCGGCTGCTACTGTGACTGAAAAGTAAGCGCATATAATAAGCGCGTAAAGTAACGCGTGCGCGCGACGTTGGAACGGAAGTCGCAGACGGTCGAAAAAATGCGCTTATCGTATTTTGATTGCACGAAATACCCAGCGAGCGGCGACAATCGACAATTAGTCAGAAGTATGGCAGTATGCCGTGTGCGACTAATTTGTAATTTGAATGAAAGTGCTTCAGATTGACGTCATTGCTAAACATGTAAAATGTAGACTTCAATATGGGTGATTAATTCACAATCGAAGTATGTATGTTTATTGTATTATTGGAATAAGCAGTAAAAACTTTAATCATAGTTTTTGCGCGCAATTCATCGGATATGTATTCTGAATATTAAAAATTTAAAAAAACATTCAAACTAATTTTTGGGTCAAAATTTATATTTTCAAGCAGATGTCTTCAAAATATTTTGAGTTTTAAACCTCTGAGGTAGTTAAGGGCAGTTTTATTAGTCTGACCTTCTAAAATATAAAACTAAGGCACTTAAAGGGTAAACAAGCAAAATAAACTTGTTACTTTATTGTCGTACATTCGTCTTAATACCCCCAAAGCACTGTGCAATTTGCGGATTGCACTATTCTATTTATTATCCGCTGTATTGTTCTGTTTTTCGGCTGGTCACCTTAATTGGTTCCTGGTACTTGCCTACAGTTGTGCCTTCCGTCCTGACCTTTACGAGGGCGACAATAATAACACAGGTAGTCATAGAGGAGTTGCCAAAGTTTACTACTAAAGAGAGGATTAAGTATTATTAAGACGGATTACGAATTTTCCGAAAAGGTGTAACGCCTAGTATTACTAAAGTTGTGGTAGCAATATCGTGTGAATATTCTGTACCTTTATATTGTAGCTACTCAAAATACATGGCAAATACAAACCTTTTATTGTTTTGATTGTTTTCAAACTTCTGGCAACATACCGACAAATTTATTGCAACTAAACTTACTGCAATCAATTCAACTTGTTAAAAGTCTTAGATATTGATATAAATATAAACAGCTAAAAAGGCGCAAAATTTTCAAAAATAGTCAAAAGTTAATTTTTCTATGAATTAAAAAGAAAAATGAATACAATTTGTACAATTTGTTCGATTTATAGGATTTGTACATTATGTATCCACGTTCCTGCTGTTACAATGAGTAATTTTGTCTGGTGCCGGAATGTGCATTCGCATTTCGCGCGACTTGAGCGCGTGCCAAGCGGTTCAAATTTAGTAACGTCGCGCTGTGTGTCCTGTCAGCCCGCGACCGAACGTCCGCATTTCGGCGCGAGCGTTATTTGCGTGCGCGGATTTTATAGGAAGGAAGTGTGTAACACACCTCGACACGACGACGACGACATGCCACGACTCACCGTGCCAAGTGAGATGAATCAGAATCGAATTCAACTCCGCGTACGTATATGCAAATCACACCAACACACATCTGAATGCGGGTTGTTCTCGATTTAATGCTTGTTTTGGCTGGGGAAGCTGTTCATATTTAATTTGGTGATGTTGCTAGTATGTTGCGTGTGCTGGCATGGAGTGATGTGGACATGTCTCATGTCCGCGGTGGAACTTAGCAATTTGCGCATGAATAAATAAAGCAGAACGCGCAATGATGAGATCATCAGATCGGCGCTCGATGATAAAGTGCAATGGAATCGTAAGACATCCGTTCGGTTACCAGTTCCCGCGGTTACTGCCATCATACTTTATTTATTTCTTTTATTTATTTTGTTTAAAATAAAAGTTATTTGATAAGCATTCTCTTTACTAATTGTTTAATATGATTGCATTTTTCGCACATTTCGCTTTCGGTTTGGAATGTTTTTGTTTCCCACGAAAGGCAGCTCTCTAGCGTTAGGAAATAAATATTTGTCGAAATAGAAGATTTCAAGCTTTGAATAGTGTGTGCATACACCGAACCTGTACAGTTCCTAATTGTTAAATTTCACATCTTTTATGAGTAGGTACCGTGCGCATTATGAGCGTGTGTGTCTTGAATGGAAAAACGCGATCTCGTACCAACGAAATTGCCAGCCGCACCAGACATATAAAGCAATTAGCGTAGGTCGTAGTCGTTCGCTCAACGCACCACGAAATAAAAAACCAACACACACACACTTAGATCGCAACGCAAGCGCGCTCCATTGCATAATGAGTCGTTTCTGCAATAATTGACCTATTACGTTATGCGCTGTTTTCCGGGTCGCGGATCTACTCAACAACAGCAGTACTAAACGCAACATTAATATTTTATAGTACTTGGTGCGTTTTTGGGTGCCCTAGTGAGAAAATTTGTTTCTTTCAGCAGCAACCGTTATGTTCAACATACGGAAAACCATAATTTACAAATTCATTAATTAGTAATGAGTTGAACGTGTTTTCTACCAAAAAATCATCTAAATCCTTCGAAATATTAAAAATTACTCGTAAATTGACTAAAAATTATTTAACCGGTAACTTTTAGAGTTATTTTATGAATCATTCATATGTTTTACATAGTAGATATTTTTTGAATAAATAAATAAAAACTATGACCAAACTATACCGAATAAAACAGAATAAAAATCGTGCCTCCCGGTTAAAATTTAATTACACTAAAAAATGAAAATCTGAATAAATCATATTTGTAGCTACTATCGATTTTTTTTATTAAATTCGAAACCTATCAGTTCTGAAATTGCTCGAAAACTATATAATGAATGAATGCAAAATCATTTTGAATTAAAATCAACGCAGGTGACTAGTAACTCTAACTAAAAACTTTATCAAAGCTTCTGCATTGCCCCCATCACCCTATAAACTAGGGTGAGTGTAAAAATGAGATGTAGAGCAGCAAAAAACCTCCGAGGGTAACTCGCATAATGCCTACGCTCCATACATGCATGTAATTCAACTGGGGGTCAGATGTTCAGATCGTTCAGATTCAGGAAGAAGCCGCCGCATCTCTCCCACTGAAACACGACCAAATAACACTCCACAGTCCACCCAACACACGACGCGTGCAAAGTGTAGATCCGGTCCGACGGCAACGTCGCGCCCGTCTCCACCAGCAAGAGACGGATACTTGTTATTCCAGTCTAGGATGCGACCTCTCTCGCTCTGCTCGAGTTCCTCGTTCCTCAAAACCGAACCGCACCGCGCGCTCAACAACGCAACGAAACGCGCTTCCCCCACCGCCGCCAACCTCCCGCACACTCTCGACGCGGACGCTATTTCGAAACCGAAATCAAAATCCAAACAGTAGTGGTAAGGTGGCAGTCGTCGAGGCAAGTCACAGTTACTTCTACGTTCCACACAGCGCGAGAATAACATATCTGTCTCTGTATCAAGGAAATTCACGCGCGTGTGGTTTCGCTTCAAATTCATACAAAAGTTTATTTCTTATTCGCGTTTAGTGCAAACTCTGATGTAGTGCAATCTCAAACACAGTGGATTAATATCACAAATCAGCGCGAGTCGTCGCTCTGAAGGATACATCAAGGATATATATACGCACATCGCAGTTTTATCATCAACACACGCTGGCTTGCGGAATACTCAAAGGTGAATATTTTTGCACACACATTTTAGTTCCTGTTCGTGCGTGCGCCTGTGTAAACACCAAACGCACATACCGATTTTTTTCGCGCTGAAAACCTCGTGTTGAGTGAAGTTCGGAAAACGCGCGTGGAAAACAATGCAGAGCCAAAACCGACGCACCTGGGCGTTCAAGTCGGGTAAATAAACACATAGCGCACAACTATTTTTAACATTTTGATCGGACGCGCATTTCCACCGCACGGTGTGCGCAATCTTATCGCTCTACGCAGAATTTATCCGGCGACAACCTGTTGAGCTGATTGCGCTGAATTCTCGCCGCCTCCAAGGATGTCACGTTTCGCGCACGTCGGCGGAAAATCCCGCAACCGCAAGAGTTGCGGTGTGCGTGGGATGTTGCGTTGCGATATCGTGTTTTCGCTTAGGTTTTATTCAGTCACTCACTCAAAAATGCAACTAGCTTCAACACACATCTTTCTAGGAACTGATTTTTAATTCAATTTGACTTAAGTTATGCTAATATCGTATGACGCATTATATTCCGCATATAATATTAAAGATGTTTCAAAAATATTGACATGTTTACATAGGTTGAGTTTCAGGAAGTTTTTGCTTAATTACTTGAAAACGCTTTGCATTACAGCGATGATTCTTGGTTAATTCTATTCTGTAACAAATTCTATGCTTAAATTGTAAAGATTTCATAAATTGCATTATTACATAAAGAGTTACGGCCGTTATATATAAAATTGATTGAGTAATCAATACTTTTTAAAATAATAATTCGTTATGTCATCTAGGTCTTCAGAAATGATGCAGGTGCAATACTAGATACAGAATTTATTCGCCAATTAGTTAATTGATACTTATTTAGTTATGAAAATGCTCTAATAGATGCAAAAGTAATTAATATGAAGTAAATAATTCAGTATCCATCAAATCTCAACTTTTTTCTTTCTCCTTAATAATTTATTTACATAGGGATTGCGTCACGCTGCGATTCTATGAACTTTGTAAACAGCTTCAACAAAAAGCTAAAACTGCGTACACAGTCTTGATCGTATGTAGATAAATTTAATGACTTGGCGTTTACAAATTTCAAGTTACGTTTACACATTCTATTCGGTAATAATATCACCGATGTCGATACATCAGTCCCGGCTACTAACGTTACATAAGTGCTCGAGATTTTTCGTGCGGCGTCTCTCAAACTCTACTTCACTACTCCACTGTTTCCGGGAAGTGGTGCGCGGCACAGCCGGTGCAGGTATATAAATATGTACCCGCATGTCGAAAACAACCTCTACACCGAACTCTGAGCGCTCGCAGTGAGATGATCAACAGTCTGCGTCTCTTCTATTCTCATTTCTCAAGTTTGTGTTCACCATATTAACCTTGTGGAGGCCAATCACCCATGCATGTGATTTTAGAAATAGCTTGAAACCCGGTCGGAGTGCAACCGCAGAGAAAGAGGAACTTGAATTTTACTCGTGAAATGACGATTACATCAGATGTTTTTTGCTGGTATTTACGTAATTTACGCGGATGTTTGATTAGATAAAGATATCTGCAAAACGGCGACAACGCGACGTCGGCAATAAAACGCTGTGCAAATATCACGCGCGATTTAACTAATTGTGGAAAATTTGCGTGCGACACGTGCGTTACTCAAAACTCATCTCGGCCAACAAAGGATCATAACAAATGAGATGCATTATAGCAGCAAGAGTTTTAACTTCCTGTTCGCGATCGGGCACTAAAACACAACAGAACGCATAACGTCTGGCTGTTGCTTGCTGGCTTGCATCTTGCGTCTCTTGTTGCAAGAGAATAAAAGCAGTCAGCAACGCGGAAGCGCACACGGAGTGCGCGCTTGGCATTGACACATTTCTTCCTGGTTGCCGCGCGCGCGTTTAAATAAAACCATTAGCCGAGCTAAATATGGATTGAAATATAAAATCGCCGACTACCGTTCGAAGCTATGCGCTACAATACACATCGAAATTTAAATACGATAATTGACGCACCGAGCGGAGCAGGTAGTAGTAGTAGAATACAACAAACCAAGCAGCGCTCGAAAAAGAGATCCACCCAAGCCCATATTTACTCGTTAAATCTTGTAACCTCATACCGGAAGTCGCACACATGCTCTCAATATGGTTCTTCGTGTGCGCGGCGCGACGTTCCCACGACTCGAATTTCATTCGCCATCATCGTGTTGTAATATTTATATTTTCTATATACACATGGTGTCTCTTATGTCAGTTATTGGAAAAAAACACTTTTAAAATTCGCACAAACACAGACGTTCTTTGTTAAACAAATTAGCGCGCCGCACGTCGAACAAACACCGGAAAATAGTTAATGCAAATAGATAAAAAACTACATGTAGATATTAGATATAGCGTATATACTGGTTTTTGTTATTGGTTGTTGGTAACCTTGGAGGAAACTTCCGTAGTTTATACTTATACTTTCAACACTTACTCATATTATAATGTATTAATTATTGCAGGTGGCAAAATGAAGCTGGTACCAGGTCCTTTGCCTCCTATACCAACCAGTGGTCCGGCGATGGATCGTCTCCCGCTACCGCTGCCATTCAGTCCAGATTTACTCTGGAGATATCCGCTTGGTTTCCCAGCGTTGACACCACACACACCTTCATCTCCCCTGATGGAGTACAAGAGTCAATTGCCTAATTCTCTACCGCCAGACCCACGTATCTGGTCCAGGGAAGATGTCAATACATTTTTGAGATGGGCTGAAAGGGAATTCGACTTACAACCTTTTGATATGGATGTTTTTCAAATGAATGGTACGTTGATGATGTTTCCATAGTTGTTGTTGGTTACTAATTGTTATTTTACCTCTTCAGGCAAAGCAATGTGTTTGCTCACACGAACAGATTTATCTGAACGTGCGCCTGGGTCCGGCGATGTCCTCCACAATGTCCTGCAGTTGTTAGTGCGTGAAGCCAATAATCTCCAGCGCTGTCTGCCATCCAGTCCAGTGACACCTACATCCCGGCATCCTTACCCTCTTAGCCCACATACCTCACATCCTCCGACACCCAACTGGAATATCCTCTCACAGGCGCAAGATTTCCATCCACACGCCGCGCAGTTAGCAGCGCACCTGATGGCTCAACAGAATTCGGTTACTTTGAGTCCCGCGCCTTCTGTGGAGAGCCAAGCCGGTGGTAGTCCGCAACATGCTGAGAATAACACCACGACGCAGCATATTTTCAACCATTCCATCTTCGGCAGCAGCAGCAGCGGTGGCAGTAATGGCAGCAATCAATCGGACTCCGATGAGGAGTTCGCTGACAAACACGGGCATAATATGAGCCCGCCGAATACGCCTAGCTTTGCAATGGTGCATCCACCAACACATCAGTTCCCACCGCGCAGCCCCAAGGAAACTGCACCCAGCCCATCATTCAAAAGGGAGTTTTTCCCTAGTGATACACCCGAACCCAATACAAGTAAGTTTTTTGTAATTATCATGAGTTTAAGATCTGAAGTGTTGATTTTAAGTTAACTTTTTACTTAAATCTATTTCTTTGCATTTGCAGATGGAAGATTATTGTGGGATTTCCTACAGCAGTTGCTAAACGATCCCAATCAACGCTACACAAATTACATCGCGTGGAAGAACCGCGATACTGGCGTTTTCAAAATCGTTGATCCAGCTGGTTTGGCCAAGTTGTGGGGCATCCAGAAGAATCATCTTTCAATGAACTACGACAAAATGTCACGCGCACTTCGCTACTACTACAGGGTGAACATCTTGAGGAAAGTGCAGGGCGAACGCCATTGCTACCAGTAAGTTATATAACCACACCATCAATACTTTCAAAATAATCTAATCTAACTCTCTTTGTGTTTAGGTTCTTGCGTAATCCGACTGAACTGAAAAACATCAAGAATATCTCCTTACTGCGCCAGCAAATGTCGCCGACGCAACGCACAGCTCCCGCTGCTTTGCCTTCAGTGGCCTCCACAACAACAGTTACACCTGTTGTGACCGCCACCCCCGCGCACGTCAAAGCCGAGCCTGTCGACGTCGAGATCAACGTCCACAGCAACGATTATGATGATAAACCGACCGATTTGAGCATGGATCGTGCGCCCACCGACCTCAGCAGTAGCAGTCGGCATGTGAACATTGTCTGCTCCCCGGACCCACCGAATCTCAGAGAGAGCATGTACTACAAGAAGGAGGACATGGCGACTGACCATTGATGCGTGTATCTCTCGCGCGTTGCGGTTGTGTGTATGTGCGTGCATGTTAGTGACTGTTATTTTGGTGCCAATATTTTAACATTCTGTGCAAATTTTATTTAGTGATACCGAAATACTAATTAGTTAAGTAAGAGACGAATGTATATTGAAATCCACCCCCGCCCCCATCTCAACTGGGGCATGTGCCAAAAGACGTTGACGCATTCTGCGAGCGTTGATTTGAATTGTATTATTAAGTTTTCATCAAAGAAAAACCGATTTTTTTTTTGGACACTAGCAAACTTTGTAGTTCTCACACTACTTATGGGCAGCTTTAATTTGTTTAATTAATAAATTAATTATTATAATGTTATTACGGTGCGCGGAGACGCGCACGAAAGCAAATTGAAACGAGCGACAATAATTATTGCGAATAAACAATAAAAAACGAAGAGATAGACTGGAATTTTTCAAAGATGATCAAAATTGGGTCCATGCCAAACAGATATTCAAAAATGTGCGACATTCCAATGCAACCAATCAAAAATTATCAACGGAAACAATACGAGAGAATATTTTTAGATGAAATTTACGATGGGCAACTATATATTTCCAGCTCTGTTTCTGTGATCTCTGAATAAAATAAATTGTAATTTATATTTGACTCAATTTTTTGTGTGATGATTATATAAAAAGATACGAAGAATATATTGTATAGAAATGAATGAATTGTACATAGCATGTTTCATATTTTTAGTAAGCAAACGAATAGGAATATCATTGGTAGACAATATGGCGAATGGACGTGATGATATTTTGTGCGATTTATTGGATGCCTTATATGCGCTTTACTTAAAACTGGAAGTAACTTTATTATTTCTAATTGCAATCATTTTGTTGATATTTTGTATTCTGAGTAATAAAGAGTAATTGACGCATTTGTCTTGAAAGAAACAACTAAGTTTTTTGTTAGCCATTTTGTCAACATCGTTCTATGACGAAAACATGCGTTGTTGATCAACAACGACCTAGACGCGGCGGACATTTTGAATAACAAACATACGCGAAAGATATCTAATCTTTCAATCTCTGATAATTCAGCATAACACGTTTACAGTCCAACAATATTGAAATTGTATATTTATTATTGAAATTAAACATACCTTTGCCGTCTTCTTACATCACGAACATGGAAATACTGCTCCAGACGCGTCGAATGATGTGCAAACGAGAAAAATACAAAACTGTTCGGCCGTTACGATGGTTGCGCGCAATAATACGTTAATTGTCCCGGTTACATTGAACAAATTCGAATTTCGGTGTTATCACGATAATATACTTTATAATAAAATGTCTTCTAAGTTGCTAATGTCTCACCAAATAGTTTTTGCACTGTTTGTTCTTCTGTGATTTGCACTCATGGAACGTTATTTCTTGCTGCACTTCTGATTGTTTCTGATGTTTTTCAGTTTTTATCAGTTCCGTTTTTTCTTAAAACAGTTACCAACTTCCCCTAGATGATACAAAAAATCCCTAGATAGAATGCGCGTTGAGCTAAAGCGCAGGTTTGGAGTTTTGAATTTTTTGGTATGCCTGCTTACTGTTAGTGACTATAAGGTTAGACAAAAATAAATGCGGGACTTTAACTTGATCCCCACTTGGTTCTTCATATTATACTCGAAGCAACGCGATGATGCCCGATTAGAGAAAATTATTTACAATTTTATTGCTTAACGACAGGACGCCTAACCTAAATTATCAAAGCAGGAAGGAAATGACAACACATTCCAATAATAAATACCTCTTACTGAAGGCGGAAAATACCACACTACGACGCAGGCAGAGATGTTTTTACCAGTGAATTGACTGTGCAGTGATCGCAAAATGCACGAAATATCCTTTTTTGTATCCTTTTGAAAAGAAAATTATAATTTAGTAACATAGTGATAGTTGGCCAACAGTATTTTTATGTAAAAAGTGTTTAATTTATATAATGTATAGTTTTAAGTATAAGTTTAAGTGGTGTGATTGAATAGTTTGCTTCAGAAAGAAGTTTAGAATCATAACTTATGTTTTATATGCTTATGATTGTAGAATACAAGGAGCGGAAGCTGAGCAATATGCACATATTAAAGTTTCTCCATGAACTGCTGGAAGACGAAAGCAAGAAGTATAGAAATCTTATTGAATGGGAGGATAGAAATGCTGGAGTCTTCAAGATTTTGCTTCCAAATGAACTGGCTTTGCTGTGGGGACATCATAAGAATTCAAATTGCATGACTTATGATAAAATGTCAAGAGCTTTGCGCTATTACTACAGGGATAAGATTTTAAGCAAGTGTGGAAGACTATGCTACAAGTAAGTTAATAGTATAAAACATAAATTCATTTATAATAACATATTCAATGCGTAATTTTAGATTCCATTGGGAAAATCCCTTGTTTGGACTTTCAGTGAAAAACATCAAAATCAAGGCAGAAGACAGAATAGAAATGGGCCACTTTTTAAGCACACAACTGAAGAAGGAGACAACCATCGTAATAGAAGATCACTTCATGCATTCAGATTGATTTTAGGTTTTAATTCTTAGCAGATGTCATTTTATATATCATTCATTATCAACTCGTTAAAATTTCATAATTTAACTTTTATCTAATTGTTGTTTATCTACGAGACATTGAATCTATGATAAAAGTTATCGTACGCCGTACGATAGGGAAGGAAATTTTATTCAAATAGGAAAGCATATACTAATATTGCCGAATAATGTACATATTACTATGAATGTTAATACATAAATGCTATATTTTTATTACATTATATGATCAGATCAAAATCCATACCGCTACGGTATTATATATTTAACAATTTAAGAGATAAAAATCATGTTTGTATGAAAAAGGGTTTAAGTTTATGTTAACGCTCAATCACGATGTTATTATTGTACTTTTTAACATGCGATATACTTGAATCAATATATACTTTGAAATTACGAGGATTATTCGGATTTTTGTGGGGGATTTGAATTGAAGAAGATGATATCATCGGCGGCGATTGCCGTTGTGGTTTTCTGCTTCCCGTCGTCGCCTTTGATTTCGCCGTAAGTAAGCTTTCCGGTCACATGCACCCGTTGGCCTTTTTTCAGATAGTTTAGAATTGTTTCACGAAGCCCCGGTTTGAAGCAGATGACGCGGTGCCATTCGGTGCGCTGTAGGAATTCACCTGATTCGTAGCGGTAGTTTGAATGGGTTGCTAGTGAGAAGATGGCTACCGGATGAGCGTCGCTGCCTTTTCGTTGTGGGTCAGCACCAACTCGTCCCAAGAGTTGAACTGTGTTTAATGCTACATAAAGTTCAAGTTTGTTTAGTAATTATGGTTTACTTCAGTTGCAGAATAATATTTTAACTTTATATAACATTAAAATGTTTGCAGTAGTTATAAATTGTATTATTTCAACTAAACTTTCTTATTAACTTAAGATTTATGATATGTAAGTAATAAGTTGTGCAAAATAATTCATTTGTTTCTAAAATCCCTGAAGTAACATAATTTTGCATTCAATAGCAATAAATTCAAGTCACTAACAATAAAAATAAAATCAAATTATTAATTTAACTTACTTTTCTCAAGCCTAGCTGGTTCAACTGGTCCTGAGGAAGAATTCCATCTTATGCTACCTGGAGATACTTTTGGAAGCAATGCGAGAAGCTTAAATTGATTCTGAAAATTGGATGAAAAACATGTTAGAAATATCTAACAAAACCGTAACAATCATAATGTCACCTTTTATATTACATGTATAATACAACAACAATGTTAATACTTACAGTTCTCAGCATTTTTGTGATTGTTATCTTTGAAAAATGTGTTGTAACTAAATAAAACAAGAGTAATTCTCAACTGTTCTGTTCTCAACAACTCAACACGCTTGTATCTTAGGTTACGTCGCAGACCGCACTAAACAAAGAGGCCCCAAGTAACTGCAAGTACAATATCAATAGTAATCATTTAGATACTGTTTTCTTTATAGTAAAAATTAATTAATATTAGTAATCATGCAAGATATCATTGTATAAAAAAGTTATTGCTTACTGGTGTTATTTGTGTTTGGTGTATACTTGGTTGCATACCGTACCGAATATACACTACTATCATACCGCTTACAATAATAATAAAATCGTTTAAGAAATGTCTGTATAAATAAAGTGTGTACGGTAGTTTGAAACAAAATTCAATATTTTATTATACACTAATTGAATAGTACAATTTGGATTGTGCAAGCAGCATTTGTGTTGAAATATTCTCTGAAGAAATAAAAGTATACAAAAGGTTGCCTATAGTGAAACATCGCAATATATTTTATTATTTATAATTTTAAAATATTTCATGCATTTATTTAAAAATTGCTAAACTATATCAATAAAATATATACCAATATAATTTAAATAAAATTTAATTATATTTTAATCATAATTCCATCTAAAATAATCAATTTCTGCATTTCATAAATTCTTCCACAAATTAAATCAGTTTAAACAAAAAACGAAGGCAAGAAAGCGTCTGGCGATGGCAGCAAAGAAAAGACAGAAGCGCAGCACACGCGTAGGTAAAAAAGGGCCGGCTGCGTCACGGGGGCAGGCCGGATAGGAACGCCGTCTCCCCGAGAGTGCATACTCGCCGCGTTCATCTCTCCCTCCACCAAAACTCTAACAACCCTCTCGCACACATTCGTCTTGAGGCGGCGGAATTACGCGCGAGCAAGACAGCACCAGAACGCCGGCAGTCCGGGGGTGGTAAATATTCCATCTTGCGCATATATTCAAATACGCAATCTGCGCGCATAGAGAGATGCTGTGCTGTGACTTTAACACCGCCCCCTTAAAATATCGATCACTTTATATATCCATAGCAACGAATTCGCCTCGACCGTTTTTGCAATCATTTCCATAAAAGACGAAAAGGAAGCGCGCACACGGAAGGGAAGCGCGCACCAACGCCAACCGCCGCCACCTCCTCCATCGCGCAGCGGGGGTGAAGTTGCGAAAAACTCGTCGTTTCTTCAAGAGAGAGGAGAAAAAGAAACGAAGCACGAATTCTGCAGGATTTTACTGCAAGAATTGAATGCATGCATGAATGAGATGGAGATGGAGTCGTTAGCGGGGTTGCATATACAGTACCACAACCTCCTTCCGCCTCCAAGTCATGTACGGCGGTGTTTGTGTGTAAATCGCGGCGGCGGCCGGCGACACGAAAGCGGTTTAACCGCTAAGCACACATCACGAACACGAGCGGCGTCTTTTTGCGCGTTTTGCCACCCCCCAGCGTAAGAGAACGGGGTTTTTATTGTGTCATGGCGTCATAACGCGACGAGGAAAAGTTCGTTACGCGTCGTTAAATACGTACGCGAATTGGCATTCGCATTCCAATTGGAGCATTGCATTTATTAATTTCGACGAGCAAAGGAAAACAAAACAAAACAAAATGGAGGCGTGCGTTGGTTGGAACGCAGCGGGAAGGAAGTAAAAATGCAGAACGTGGTTCTAAAATGCTTATCGTTACTGCTTACTGGGGGCAATTTTAGATAGCGATACCGACATAAACGTGCATCGCACACCGCAGGGTTGTTAAAGTTAATTTTCTACTTTTCGAAAAATTCACTACAGTCGCTCACATATTTGCTATCTTATAGTTATGTTTATTCGGTTTTAAACAGTTATTGCACATAACCTCAATTTGATGCTATTAGAACATTACAACTAGTAAATTATTGATTCGTTCGATTCGATTCTGAAATTAGTTTTGTTGAGAACCAGGCGATTTAACACATTAATCTAAGACTGTACCCGCATTAACTGCACCCTCAACGTAAATTAGAATAATAAATATTCTACGCGTCTGGCGAATACATCCCTCTATGTCTATGGTTGCATAGTGTGGGTGGATTTGCAATCGCAAAGGAAAAGCATCCACGGTCCCCTTACGGCCGATTGCATTCGCTGCTGCTTCATTTATGCATCGTGACGAACGTTGGGTGGGTGGTTGGGGGTCGGGGGGTTGTTATGCGAAATGCAGTTGAAATAGTAAACAGAAATACGAGACATTTCCATTATACTTATTGCAGCGTACGCTAGGAACATGGCCGAGCATAAAAGCAACGTAAATGGAACACTTTCGGACAATAATGCAATATGGGGATGCGTTTTCTGAAATCAGTAATTCTATTCTTCACAGAATATAATCGAACAAATTCTGATTGTTCACAAATGTTTAAATCATATTTTTTTATATTTTAAACTAGCTGTTGCCCGCGATTTCGTTCCGGCAGTGTTTAATAAAAATGTAATTCGTTTTTACTCTCTTGTTCTAGACATACTCGTAGCAAGAGTCAATTCTATCAATAAGATTAGCAATTTTAATTTAAAGAAATTAATTATATAAAGTTTTGTCAATAATGCACTTCAGCGCGCCATCTCGAATTCAACTATTTAACTATAACTATGATTGAATCTCAATGTCAAATTTTATTCTATAGAAAAGAGCTGTTTTGAGGATTTTCCCGGCAATTATTCGAATTTTTCTCACCTTTTAAACCTTCCCTAGATCTCCACGAATAATTCAAGACCAAGATAAGATAAATCCGTTCAGCCGTTCTCGAGTTTTAGCGAAACTAACGAACAGCAATGCATTTTCATATATATAGATAAAAAAATAATTTTTGAGCGAAAATTTATATTTTGAGGTTAAAATCTTATTTGCTAATTTTTTTATGTTTTATTTAAGCTACTGGCTATGATTCTTAATGCAGTTCCTTGTTTTTTTCTCCCCTTCTGCGCAATTTTCATGTTTTTTATGTTTTGCACCCCTAGGAAAACATAAAACTCGTAAATTTTATACATGCGCATGTGAACGCACAGTACCTAAACGAATTTGTAAATTCCTGGGTGCAGCGAAGTGTTGCAGAAGTCCGGGAAACGTTTTCACCAGGGCGCAGTCGACTGCAATCATGCAACATTAAAAATCATAGCGCCCCGCCGCGGTTTATGCTACATTACCCTCGTTGATGGCGCTCTGCACCACTGGCAACCAAGCAGTCAGCGAATAAATCTTAAAAATACATTTGTTTCCACTAAAATGCAAAAAAACAAAAAATTCATGTTAAGTTAAGCTGGAAAATATAACAAACTAATAGAAAGTGATCTTTATGCTGAAAGTTTAATATTTCCTGATGCATAAATAAATATTCCATCTTGCTGCGCCATCGTAAACTCGAATAATTTCTGTAGCATCATCTTCAAGGGTGTTCGGCGAGGGCGTGAGTTCTCCGCGCACCGTACACAAGTTACGCCAGCGCAAATCCCAAGGCGTTCGAGGATTAATAATGAAAATTTCATCATTTAGATGTTCGTTCTTGCCTTTTTCCCTCTCTCCCATCGCACGCCATCCCGAACCACCCCCAAGCTAGAAGCGCGCGTTGCGTAAAGTTGTTGTTCGCCTCTCGGCCTCTCTGCAAGCCATATGAAACATTAGTTATTTTCGCATCTGGCGGCGTCTTTTTCACTGCAGCGCGCCGGGAAAAATGAAGAAAATGGAAATGCAGCGAGCGCGCGAAGGGGGTGGAGAGATATTTGTGCTGGAAAGTGTGGCGGAATGGCTGCACGAGAATGCGAGACGAAACACAATTAGAAAAATGTAATAATTGCTGGAAGTTGTGCAGGAGTTGGCCGCCTCCATAATTGATCGCCTTATTAAAGATGAGTTAGCTCTTCCTTTGTCTCGCGGCGGACGCGCGCTCGTCGTTATGGCAACCTCTATGCTTACTTATTGCAACAACTCATATCCTAATTGGGTTACCTTTTCTGCGCTCCTACGTACATCTGCGTCGTTAGGTATTATCTGGCGTTTATGTCTGGCTGGACGGAAAATTGTGCACAAAGTACGAAAACTAAAAATAGTATAGCCGAACTTAAAGTTAGGTTATGTCATGTGATAGGTTAGAATCGGTTCCATTTTTAATCATTTTTAGTTTTTTTGAGGTTAAATTTATACAGTAACTTAAAATAAGTTTTCCTCATGCCATTAATTGCATGTTTTTCTACCCTTGCTCAAGATATTGGTCGTTTTCCTCATTATAGCGTTTCTTTTGATTTATACGCGCGTTTTATGTGTTATTGAACATGGAAGTAATTAAATATTTGCACCCCGGCGTGTGCGAGACACGTACCGGGGGTTGGAGTGCCGCGGGGGCGGCACGGTCTTGCCAGACGCCGGCGGAGGGTAGTTTCCCTAATGAACGAACGCACCACGCTTCGTCTCCGGCGTTTGCTAATACGTCTTCGACGGCAGAGGAAAAAAGGAAACGACGGCTACAGACTGTTGAAGGAACACTTTTCGGGGTAAAATATTTAGACATTTATACAGGGATGATTTTTGGTAGCGCATTGAAGTAAGTGTACAGTTGGTTTAATGCCTTTGGGGTGAAACAAATACTAAATTTGGCTAATATGTGAATGCAAGCTTTTATTTCCTACAGAAATACGCCTTCCACTTGCATCCCTTCAAGAAAAATAAGAAAAAGACCAAAAATAAGCAAAATGTTAGAAATTTTGAGTCAGAATCAGTTGTTTTAAGTTATATTTATGATTTATATTATATTACCAGGTAATGTTGCAAGTTTTCATTAGTTTGAGCTGTGTTATTAACCACCTTAAGTACAAAACGATGTATGAAGGATAAACACACTGCTGCTGGCTTCTTCAGTTGACGTCAGATATGATTAGCGACTAATTTTGTTTGCCGCGTGCATTCTCGCCCCGCCGTCGACCCGCGCGCTCGTTTATTTCATTATGCCACGCGTTTATTATCGATTGAGCGCCGCCGGCGCGGCAAACATGGCGCGCGCTTTCAAACAATTAACCCTGCCGTCCCCGCGTAATGGGGATCATATTGGTCCGGATGAAATATTAGATATATTACCGAAAAGGCAGCTAATGCAACTAACCAAGCACCGAAAATAATAATTATACTGTTAAGAGTTGCAGAAACCGGAAAATAAAAAGGCGCAGAGCGCTTTTTCGCGTCACATGCACACGCGAATTTTTCCTTAATTTATCGGATGGCAATTAGAAGTTTGTCGAGGGCGGGCGTTTCGATATTAACTGCGGTATGGGCTCGATAGATTGTTCCAACTACTTATCATCGTCGTTCATTTGGTAAATGTCAAAGATTTAATTGCGATTATTACACGGGAATTGCATTAATTTGTTAGAAAAGTTGAGAAATTATTTGCAACCTTGAAGATTTTATGTAGTTTATAATTAGTATGGTAGATGGCAGATGTATTCCTGGGATTTACCTGATTGTTTAATTTAAACATTTTTGACAGGCTGCACGCGACTTTGAGCAGAGGTTATCTGCACAGCTGTACCCAGAATACCATCAACTCGTTTGACCCTTTTCAGTGATTTTTTTGGTTACCCTTTAACAAACAGCACCCCTTTTAATTTACCACTTTTTTAGGGTACAAAATATGGGGTGTTTTACCCTTCGACACGTTGAAACTATCACCATCTCATCAAACATAACTAGGAAGTTAAAAATTACACAACACTTTACACATCAGTATATAATTGCACCAAATCATGCAAACATGGATTTAAATCAGATGTTCTACGATGAAGAATTACAACTCAATAATTAAAACTATTATAGATATTGTTTTAGTAATCAGAAAGGGTTGGTATGTTTCAGGGTCAGGGTCTCCCTTAATCTCTGCTTTCAAATCTGAATACACCGCCAATGAAGTTTTTTAAAGGGTTGGCACCCCTTCTATGCCTATCCTTTGTGCAGAAAGTTAAAAAAGGTCTTGAATGCTTTGGTTGGCAAGAGATGGTCTGAGTGTTCACTGCGGAGCAGAATGTTATCGGTTGGTCCCCACTACAGACTCCAGCCTGCGATGGAGCTGCACAGGAGGCTTGCTGGTCTCGCAGGCAGTTTCCTCAAGCCTTCGCATACAAGATATGCTCCACCCATTTATTTCATCGACGCAGTGCAAAAAAGCTCAAGGGGTAGATTTCATTCTGCACCCCTTTGAAATGAAGTGAGGAGAGCAAGGGTTTTTTAAATTCAGATTCAGATCTGTTGTCAGTTGTTGTTTGAGTGTCAAGGAGGAAGGAGCTGGGTGTAGGCAAGCAATGGTGTTTGAACACAGGTGAATAGTTGCATGAAGGATTATTTAAACAAATTCATCCAGGTATGTGAGTTAATGTAGTGTTTCTGTTAGTTTTTATGAAACATTTGTGTGCAAGAATTAGGCTCAGAGTTTGCTTCACTTAAATATATTCTGTGGTGCTAATGGATCAGGATTAAAATCAGTTTAATAAACAGAATGTAATTTAAAATTTTGTTAATTTTCTTGTCAATTTTACAAGAAGATTAATATTAATTGTGGTATTCTTAGAAAATTAAGCTTCTATGTCTAGAACTCAACTCAATATACCAAAAAGAAAGTATTGCAAAATAAGTGAAACATTATTGGAAGTTTAAACTGTAAAAATTATGATTTTTCGTTGGTTTGTGTTGTTTTTAATACATGTACAGGCATTTTCATGAAAATGTTGTGTGACTTGAGATTTATTTTAGTTATGAGACTATTTTGGATATGTTTTACTCTTACTATTAAGAGTAAACACTTAAAAATGATGATTTTGAGTCATGTAATAATATTTTGGTCTTGATACCTTGATACAAGTTAAATATTACATAATTATTTAAGCGTTCAGAAATATTTTAACATTGTTGTTGCATGGTATCAATAAATTTTAAGATCAATGCATACATATGATTAGAATTAGGTAGGACGCTAGAAAATTGCTTTGCTGTTCAAAATGGCTGAATATTATTTGAATATGGTAAAGTTTCGTTTATATATTTATATCAGGCTGGTTGATTCATGACTAGTGTTGGAGCAATGTTCCATACTTGCAATATATGATAAAATTATTTGATAACCTTCAAGCAGCGAAATGTAGATGAACAATAATTGTTTTTGTGGGATGAAGACTAAACTGAAACTTAAATAATGCTTTAATTTTACTCGTGAGTTTAGCTAAAGATACAAGAAATATTTGTTAGAAGATTTCCTAGTTTTTCAAACGTTTGTGAAACATATTTGCACGTTGTGCGACCAAAGTATTGTGAATATGTCTTGGACATTCACATTCAACCCTCATCTCCACCGTGACGAGAGTGATTGAAGTGTACTATGCGTATGTCACTCCGCAGTCTTTTCGCGTTTCCCATCCATCCTTTTACATTTCTTTCCCTCTGTCCCACCCGCACGTTATACTCCTCTTGCCTCAAGTCCTCAACTCATCTCTCCTTCGGCACGATTTCACTATGAAACCGAAAGGGAGAAAACCTCCGTCTCCTCAATGGAATCCCATTTCAATTGAAGTCCGCTGTCCGCAGAACAAGAACACCACACGCTTGTATAAGTTAGGGGCTGAATGCATAAAGAGCCGTCGCGAAAGAAAAACGATGGCAACGCCGAGTCCTGGCGGGACGCTTGTAAGTGTCCAAGGTACACAAATAAGTCGTACGGGAGAAAGTCCTAAAACATCTGATAGCTTGCAAGACTGGTCATAGACCAGAGAGGAGATGAAGGAAACATAGGAGGAAGAAAGCGGCGGGCGCAGGGGGCGATTTTATGCAGCAATTTTCCGAGCCCTCAAGTTATCGTCGGCGCGTTAGATGTGATCACGGATGGGATGACGGGATGAGTACAGGTCAGGGGGGTTAACTTTGCTATCAGCGAGGATATTTTCGCCCTAAGACAACTATTTATCATACATATATCTATAAAAAAGAAAGTATGTAGATAAAAGAAAATTATGCATTTTGAAGGGCTCCTGAAGGTCAATTCAGTGAAAATTCTTAATAATATTAGATACTTTTCCATTTTAAAGACTTTTTTTGATGAAAATAATTTATTTTAATGATTTAAATCTCATTACTTGTGTTTCTATTATAAATTTGGTCTAGTATTATATAAAGTTCTTCTAAAATGCGAAATTGACTGGTTTAAAAATTGAATTTTTATAACTAATGCCCTGTTGTATTTCCCGACATGGAAAAACGAAATTGTGTCATGACAGAAGAAAACGTAATCGTAGTCCGGGTCCCAGCACCGAGTGGAGAACGCCAGCGCGTTATTGAATTTATTTTTCCTAACTGGATGCGCGACGAGTGTGAGGACGAACCGAAGCCCCGGGAGCGCCTCCGCCGCCGCCGTCGTGGAGCGCAAATGTAAAGGATGCATTTCACTATATTTCGCATTTGTGTGCGCAAGCAGCCGCCTTTCATTTGTCTGCATGCGCTCCCGGAAAACTCCGACTCGAAGTAAACTCAAACAGAAACACCATCACGCAGCGCAGATGTAAGGATGCGTGGTGGTGGTGGTGTGAGTGCGGCGGTACGAAAGCGAGGACGACGACTCTTTGAGGGCGATGGGGGGTGGCGGTAAGGCCCGCGATACCGAAACGCCGTCACATCGTAACTCAAGCAATGCACGGGGCGTGGCGGCCTAATCGATGCGATATTGCGATATCGATTGCACTCACACACACACACCTACACTCTACACGCGTCTTGTGTGGGACTTTTCGTCCTTGCCTGGCACGCCGCGGCGATATTTCCTTTTTCGTCATGATCAAATATTCAACATATTACAAAAATTCCTTTTTTGAGTCCACTTAACAAACTTCTCGGTACTCACCGCATTGAAACATAGAAAACTAGAAGAAAAAACTTGCAAATATAAATCTTGTTACAACGACTCGAAAAGCTTCTTCAGTAGGAGTAATATGCAAGGAGCTTTTTGCAAACGACGCGCTTTCCGCAAGAGAATCTCGGTGGCACGCTGTGGCGTTTTTACATTAAACACTAATAAAAGTAAGTTATGCGTTGCCGTGCCATCGTACGCACACGCGCGCATAACCTCAAACGAGAGCGCCCCGCACATGCATTGGTAAATTATGATTCCGAAGCCGGCGTTCATACATATTCCGATGCGGCGCGGAGCGAAGGATATACGAGGCATTAAAGTTCCGTGTTGAATACTGTATGAGCACCGGCGCGGCTGGCGGAGAAGTGAGCGAATGTGAAATCGACATCAGCATCCAATGGCGAAAGGAAGCGGACCTCATCTAGTCATCCGCACTTGGAAACGTTAAAACCCTCACAATGGTTATTCAAGATTTCAAACTTGAAAACAACCTCAAACCACATCTTCACCCAATAGCGGCGAATTGAGGTTATGTTAGGTTAGGTTACGTTTTTATTATAGATTATGCGGTGTGTCTGCGTGCTACTTGATATTCCGCTCGGGTGGTAATAGTGAAGACATTTTAATGCGCGTTTGCCACCCTTGGCGCACGCGCGTGTGGAGGGGCTCGAAGATGACGCACTTCCGATATCTCTCTGTTTTATGTGACATGATTATTATACGGCGGCGCAGGTGGTCCGGACCTTTCGGGGATATATATGGGAATCCGCGCAGATATATGACCCTGGCATGGGCAAACATTGGGGCATCGGCGGGGGGAAGCCCCCGAAGCTCGCTTCTAAACAGAGACATAAATTCAACCAGCCCGACGAGAGGAAAAAAATGCCAGAATAGGACGCAAGGCGCACAGAAAAGCAAAAGGAAACTTATCATATAAATAACGCAATGAAAATATACTTTCACATCTATGACATGATAAAAGCTTTTAAAAGCTCGGCAGTGAGGAAGCAAAGCAGATCCACGTACAGTGCAGCCATTACATAAAATAACCAAGTTTCGTCCGGACTCGGCACGACCCTTTACTTTACGCTGCCGTCTTTTACTGCGACTACATTGTATGCAGTAGGGATAGTAGGGTTAGATTGAAGAAAATGGCCGACTTAATGTTGTATGCATGGGAATACGATATCTCCATTAATGGGCAAATATTGCATACAAGCGAATGAAAACCTATAATATATTAGAAAAAATCGTAGGGTTAGGAAACTCTATCCGAGATAGGAAACGGAAATGAGGTGCTATTACAGCCCACATGCTTGCAAAAACCAATCAACAATCAGCAACTCAATATACAAACACGTTGTGTTGCATAACTCTCAGGCGTAAAATTCACATTAACTTTTGCGTATTTTTTGTTTTATTTTTTCAAGTATGTACAAAACGTACACAGAAAAAAAACGCCAAAGCTTCGAAAGCAATTTCTTCACATGTGTGCGCACTTTTCCATGAAACTTGTCCGGGCAGTCCTCCCAGGGGATGCTCGGCAAGTTTGACGCGGGTGGAGAAAAAAGCGCCGCATGCAAAAGCAAACATGGCCGTAAAAAACCCTTAGGAGAGAAGTTTCGGACGATGACCGTCACGCGCCCGGGTCCCACATGGCTCGTAAGATTATCCGCGAGCGGAAAGGACATTCATTTAAATAGGATTGATATAAGATGGATCCTATATCCAGAGCAACCCCTATTGATACTATACATTATAAACAGGTTTGGGACCGATCAGAAAATAAGCTTTTCCGCCCAAAAATGTAAACCGACAAGCAGATTACTTGCAGTAAGTCATATCAAGAGATTATGCTAAGTTAATTTATTATAAAGTATGTAAATGTTACAAAATATGCATCCAAACAGTAGCTGTGGGTATTCAAATAGAGTACAATTAGCATAGCTACTCGTTGTGGTGGCCGATTATTCTAATTAATTTTAATTAGTTGTGTCAATGGTTGAGTAATAGTCAGATTTGTAGACTGTATGCAAATGTGAGTTTCTTTTATTAAGAATAACTCTTGCATATCATAGGGTTACCATATTTAAATCAACTTTTAATATTTTTAAATTAAATATCTAAAACCAGGTTAAAACCATTTGTGTATATTTGGTTGCATAGTCTAAACAAAGAAATTTATTGTCCTGCGTATGTTAAAACGTCTTTTCGTGAGTTTATGAATTATTAAAATCAAATTTTGGTTTCCCTGAGCCGATGTGCACCTGTTTTCAATAATTATGCAAAGTGATAAGCAGCGTGCGATAAAATTAATGCGTTAATAATACGTTTCTGCACACCGCGCTGCTTGAAACAATAAATCTACGATGATTAATAATTAAAGCTTTCGTTAATTTATTACTTTCAAAACATATTTAGCAGCAGGTCATTACGTTTCCTCACTACCTCACCAGCTCTTTATACTT